CTTTTTAAGCTTTATAACTTTTGTTTGAAACATTTTTTTTCTAAAATGTATCGTTTATGAGATATTTGGGTGTATCCAGACTTTTGGCCCACCCTGTATATGTATCCAGTGCACTGAACTGGCACCGTCAAAATATCTCGTGCCACTTATAGCGTTTTTCACTGGCAGAGCTGGTGCGCACTCAGTGCACTTTAAAGTTGTACACAAATTGACGTAAAGATGTACGTTTAATAAAAATATATAAACGAATTAAACCGTGAAATTTTCAATAAATTTTATTGTGGTATTTGATAAAATATATGTTGGGTATTTTATTAATTTAGATATATCACTTTTACATTCAGATTAAGTTAGTGTACGACAGCTTTAATGTGTACAGAGTGCGCACCAGTTCTGCCAGTGAAAAACGCTATGAGTGCGCACTACGCGAGTGTCGTGCAGTCGAATGAACACGTGACACTAGCCAAATGCGCATTGGCACTGCCAATCGAACACGCTCTTGACACTGAGTGCAGCCCAATCAAAAACGATATAGCGATTTCGGCTGGGTTGCACTGGTGTGCACTGGTGTATATAAAGACCGTTGTACAATGAATAGAGATTTCGACTGGGATGCACTAGTACACATATAGCTGTCATACACAATTGCCGTAAAAATATATTAAAAACCGGTTAAATCGTACAATCTCCAATACATTTTATTGTACTGTTAATAAAACATGTATTTCATAATTTGCAATTCGTTTTTGTACTCATAGTGATTTCGGCTGGGACACACCGACTGCATATTTCGGGTTTGGTGCAACTAATGTGTTCGGCTGGTCGAATGATGCAATCTTTTGTCAGTGTCGCATGTTCATTTGGGCTCAGTACACCGCATAAGTGCACACAAAGTGGCCCCAACAAATTTGTTGGGGCCAGTTGGTGTAGTTGTCGGTACAGGTGCCATTTCATGAGACGCTGAAAAACAGCATGAGTGTGATCACGTGATATTAATTTTGACACTAACGTCTCTACACATGGGATCTGACATTTTTGGTGGCGCCGTCTATTGCCGAAAAGTAGAAATACTCTATGCTTGCATTTAGCGTATTTATTATAAACTTATACTGTAAAATAACAAAAACAATATTATGGAGGCTGCAATTTTTCTCGCGCGTAAAAAAAATTTTTGATTACTGTGCAGTGAGAGACTGTAACAGTAAAGTAAGTAAAAATTTAGAGCTTCGTTTCCACAGATTTCCAAAACTGAATGAACGCGTCGTTAACATAACAAATTCATTCGGCAAATTGGAACAAGTGGATAAACTAAGAGCATGAAAAATTGCTTTAAAAGTAAATAAAATTTCGTCTAATACAAAAGTGTGCTCACTACATTTTAAGAAATCTGATTATATATTGCCAGGTAAGCTAATATTTAATAAAAATTAAACTAACCTATAATCTATAATAATATAATATAATTCATAATTTAATTTTGTGTTACAGATATTGAATCGAAAAAAAGACGTTTAAAAAACACAGCAGTTCCTTCTTGCAACTTGTCAGGAACAAATAAAAAAAAGATGGAAACAAACCAAGCAAGATTGGAAAGAAGATTAAAGAGAAGCACAGCAACAGCAGCAGCATCATTATTATTAACATCAACAACAAATGAATCAATAATAGATCAATCACCTGAAATAAATTCAGTGAAAATAAATATAGGCACACTTGAAGATAATGAAAATGAAATAAATAATGAATATCAAAACACAGAAAATAACGAAGAAGTGGAAATAGAATTATTTATTAGAAAAAGTATTCTTGCTCCTTCATTTAAAGATGTTGAAGTGCAAGTGAATGTGACAGATATTCAAAAACCAAAGTTTTGTAATAGTATAACAACTGATAGTGAATTAAGTACTGCAACAGGTATAGAATCTTTTCAAGTTCTTAATTTTAAAAATAGTTGCTTATGTCAAAGGTGATAAAGAAAGAAACATGAAAATGATTTTAAAAGAGAGAGTGATAATGACATTTATAAAATTAAAGCAAAATTTATCTCATAGTTTCCTAGCATTAATGTTTAAGTGTTACTCAGCGAAATCACAGTATATACAGTAGCGCAACTTTCACGATTTCACCGTGGATAAAAATGAACTGTACATGCGCGAGCGAGGTATGTAACCAATCAGGGCACTTATATTCCATCTCGCTTCTTCTCTTTATTGTCGCTGTCTGTCTGCACCGTTGAAATGTCCATATAAGGGATTTAAATAGCTATTTAACGGAAAGTGACAGTTTTGATTAATTATAACTGATTAGTTTTCTCTGTTGAATGCAGCCATTATCAATTAGTTAACATAATAGATACGTTTCAGCGGAACACAACAGTTTTGAAACCATTTTTATGATTGTGTGCTAAGATAGAATCCACCAATCTTCTAGATCTAAGAGTATAATACAATCAGCGCAAAGAAAACTTCCAACATTTGCGAAATAAACGCTGAACGCAGTCATTTTTTATTCGTTTTTAAAATAACATGTAACAGGTTTAATATTGTTGTGATTTGAGATATAGTAAATTGAATTAGTCGAATAACTGGATTTTATCTGACAAATATAAGAAGAAATTTAAAAAATAA